GGTTGGGGATGGGAAAGGGAGGGGTCGTTCCAGGGAAACTAACTCAAGGCTGGGTGGTGGTAGGGGTCGCCAAAATTTCGGAATAGAAAGTGAGAAGGAAGGAAACCCACCTTGCCCCGCTCCCTGATGCCTTAAAGGCAAAACCCACCTTCCCCCGCCCCCTGATGCCTTAAAGCAAAGTGCGGGATCAAATTATGTGTTATTACCCTTGTAGATGACAGTGGGATGTAAAGTGTAACATCAGTAATGAAAAAACGGGAAGAAACCATCGACAAGGACAAATAAAGCCTTCCTCTTCAGAAGCTGCGAAGCGAAATAGCATTGATTTGTGGGTGGGGCCAGTGGTGCTGGGCGGGGCCAATGCTGTGTCCTAGGCCCTTAGTGCTTCGGCCTTGCCAAACTATCTCGACATTTGCGTACATTTGCGTACAAATGAATTTTTCTCAGGCAAAGGCGATTTCGGCCAGAAATCCCGGACTGCAACGGAATTTTTCCCGGAAATTCCGGTTCCATGCTGAGCATATAAGTGACTACCAATCGTGTACCTGCGTTCGTGGCGGTCTTTGCTATGCATGGTAAAAAAAAACAACAAAATAAAGAGCAAGAAAGGTCAAGGTTGTTGGTTTTTGGCAACTTTAGTGACTTTCCGTTGATATTTCCTATCACATTAGCAGGCGGGCAAGGGGTAACCGTAGTGCTTGAGGGCTCTGAGCGCTAAATTTCGTGGTACGTACCTTCCGCTATTCTTATAACCTTCATTACTGTAATGAATCTTTCGGAACCCCCTCCCTGCGCTGGAATTTATTGAACGCGAGCAGTACACCTTCTCACGCATGGTTCCTGCCTAAGCCCTGAAAGCCTCCCTCCCCCCCCCCCGAAGTTCCTCAAATTCTCCCATCGTTCATAAAACACTTACCCGCGAACATGACTCTTTCCTGGCTTTCGGGCCTGGCAGTCCTTTTGCTATCGGTCCAGGTACTATGCACACAGAAACGGACAGGGTAAGCGTCTGTCTGGGTACGAGAGGTAGTAATTGGCCCGTGGAGATGGGGAGCCAAGGGAGTGCACCTTTACTCAGCCGTGACCTTTCACACTACAGTTTTTCAAGTAAGGGCTCGATTTCAACCGAAATTCTAGATCTTCCCTTCAGTTGACCATGAGCAGCGAACGCTAAGGATAAAAGAATATTTTTGACCGGCGCTTACAAGTAACTCGGAAAAACCCATGCACCTGACCAGGAAAAGCATTCAAATTCCCATGCGAACTTTGGCGTTGAGACCTGGATTATATAAGCCATAGTTCCAAGCTGATTACAAATATGGAAATTAAAAATGAACGAAATGAATCTGCCAAGGAAACTTGAGCAGTCAAAACTGGCCGAAAGTAAAACATTACGTATCAAGCGTCTGTCCTTCAGGCTTTGAAAGTCGCCGTGGAGTAGTGGCAGCGCTCTCGAAATTTGCATTTCAACGGGAAGAACTATATGACCCTCCAGCGTGAAGAGCGACAGCAGTACCATTACTCCGCCGGTGACTCTGAAAACCGGAGGTCCAACACGGTTCCCATGCGACGCTTTCACTTTAGCCAACTTTGACTGCTCACAACTTCTTTGACAGTTTCATTTTGCAGTTTTCGTTTCCATATTTGTAATCAGCGTTGAAGCTCGACATATCCGGATCTCATTTCAAAGTTCCACGGGAAGTTGAAATGTCTCCCTGGGAGGTCATTGCGAGAAAAGGAGGATTGTGGAGCGGTAATCTAAAGTGCTATCAAAATTCTTCAAGGCAAGCTACTTCGAAAGCCTGCACTTCTCCTACGTTATTTTGGATTATTGCACAAAAAGAAGAATGAGTTTTATATAATTATTTCGACCGATTTTGCTTTACTATCGTAACGAAATTTTCTCAAACATTTCGGTTTCATGCTGAGCATATGAGTGACCACCAATCTCGACCGCGGTTCCTGGGTTACTAAAAGCATTATAATGTCCGTGATAAAAACAACAAAATAAAGAGCAAGGCGGGTCAAGATTGTTGGTTTCTGGCAACTTTAGTACCTAACAATTGATACTTCATTCGGAATTAGCTGACAGCCAAGGCGTACCCATAGTGCTTTAGGGCTTGAGGTGCTAAGTATCGTGGTACGTAACCAACGCTATTCTTACAACCTCAATTACTGTAATGAATATTTCGGGAAACCCTTGTGCTGCTTTCAACGTGATTTATTGAACACGAGCAGTACACTTTCTTATCACGTACGGCGTCTGCTTAAGCCCTGAGGTACCCCCACCAAAAGTCCTCAACCATCGGCATTAAAATTGCTTATCAGCGATACACGAATACCGTCACCGTCTTCCTTATTTGAGGGGCTGGCATGTCCTTTGCTACCGGTCTGGCTATAATATACAGCGGAACGGCGGGTCCTCAGCGGCTGTCTGGGGTAGGAGAGGTCGTACTTGACCCGTGCAGATGGGGGAATCCTTAGCAGGGGCTAGCGGCCGGGATCGTGTTGACAAAGAAAACAAAGTCTGAGAGCTCACGACAGACGCCTGATAAACACAAAAATACAAAAAAGGGGTCATAACACCGCAGTCGTGATGGACATACAAGGAATTTTATTTCGGGATACGGTATCGCGCGAGTTCTTCTGATCTACCACGCGCAATATTCCGAAAAACTGCGGGATTGGTGGCGCAGTTACATCTGTGTTACTAACAACTAATATAAATCATTCAAGATGAGGAATCGCTCTATCGTGAAGAGATTGAAAAGGAAGAGGTCGTAAGTTCAGGCGACGTTTGTCATAGTTTTTATGTTTTCTCCTTGGTTGCCAAGTATGCATGCTTACTTTATTTTTGTAGTGTTAGTTCAATTTTGTTGCAGTTAACAAGTGCGGTTTCTTATTTTAAACTAATCCTTATTGTCGTTTAATTCAAATTTGCATAAGTCTGATCATATTGATAATTTTGAATAATTCGTGGAGCTAACTCAGAACGAGTGGCCGATCGTATCGTGCTCCATTCGTTCAGTCACTACGGTCATATTCCTTTGATGTGGACTTTCAGTTTTTTTTTCAAATTACTTCCATTATTTAGTCGCAGACAATTTTAATTGAACTTATATTCACTTGGAAATATTGAGTCAACTAACAACGAACTGTTTTCCTTTGGTTTTTATTGCTTTCTTTTTAACTATATTATTTGTTACTAACCTGCTATTACTCTTTTTAATCAATTCCTTGCGAAAATTGATCTTACTTTTCCTCGCTTTGTTCTGATATCACTTATTTAAAATATTTCTTGTACACAATATTTATTTTTCAAGCAATACTTCTTTGCTTATAAAGCTCTGCATGCATATCCTTTCTGCTTTGTGTTCTTCCAAAGCTCTTCTGTTCTTTAGCATGCTTTCTGGTACCCACTTTTGTTTAAATGATGTTTTATGTGATTACAGACACTACTATAAGTTGATAAATGGTAAGTTAGTACGCAAGAAGCTGACTATGGGGAAGGAGCAGTTTCGCGAGTCCGATTTGGCGCGGAAAGTGTGGGTTTATCACTGTACTGTTCAATTGTAGTCCACATTTTCTGGTTTAATATTTCTTGTTGTAGCGTTGGCGTCAAGTTTATGCCTGCCAACAGTGATTTCATGCGCCAGGCAGCTCACATTCGTGTCATTAACAATCGACTATATGAAGATCTCCCAGGAAAGTGGGTTCCTGCGCAATGTGGACCGCTTGATCTGCGCTTGGTTCGTGGCTTTTCTTTACTCGTAACTAAAGGTCTTTGGTAACCGCAGCGTAGGAGCAAAATGCGCTACTAGAGCGGAAGGAGGGGGAGTACGCCGATTTTTGAGCAAAGTAACCTCGGAGAAAAATTTTTTCCTACCCATTCTTGAGTGCTCCCTCTTAGCTTAGATGCAGGGCAAGGACAAACCTCGCGATGAGTAAGAAAAATTATTTTCTTCCCAGAAGTTCCTTTAGCTCGAACAGCTCCTCTCCTGAAGAGATTCTTACGCTCGAGTTTCAAGCTTCTTACAGCAACAGTTCAAGCAAGAAGGCATTTTTCCACTCATTGTAGGCATGGTCTGAGCATATCCTTCACAATAGTTTTTCAGCCAAGGACAATTGAAAGTGCTTCTCTCAGGAGAAGTTTGTATTGATAGTTAGAGCTGTTTTGCAATTGGTTGAGACTTTATTACATGGTAATTTCTCTTCGGCTCAACGAGAAGATTTAAGGCTTGAGTCAAAAGCAGTCAATAAAGATTTGCGAACTACGTCTCAGCAGTTTTTTTTAGCAGGTTCCAACATTTTGCCACACCTGCTGGTATAAATGGGCTCTCACACCATCGCGTATTTTGACGCTGTCGCAGTCTACGGAGATAATGTGGCCACAATGCGTTTGGAACCGCGTAAAACATCTATTTTTGTTAGAAATGGGACTAAGCTTTGGGTGAGGAGGAGAGAATTCAGCGAGCTTCAGCAATTTCCATTTTCCCCCAAATTCCTGCCCATGCCAAGGCTTAGTCCTAGAGGACGCCTCCTTATCTTGCCATAGAGCCCCTATTTTTTAAGCGCGAAAATTCCATTGTCGTCAGTGTTCTAGCACGTTGAAATACAGTCCATATCTCGAAATCTGATTGGGCTTTTCACGGGAAATGGCGTGGCAGCCGCACTTGATAGAAGTTTCGTGGATAGCTGTTCTGGCCTCGTACTGAGTCCCATCGAAGGATATTGGAAGCGGCTTATCCATGCGACTTCTATCGAGTGTGTGTCACGTCAAGTCCGTATTCCCGTCCAATCAGACGGTCGGATATGAACTGTACGTCCCGCATTCTGTGGCCTATGTGAGGCTATTGGACCCGAAATTGAGCTTTTTCGAGGAATGGAGGAATTGGAGGGATTGAGTGGGAGTCCTCGCGAAACGCTCATCTGGGCACGAGAAGTGTTGGCTAGAAAATCCCACAACGTCATGGCGTAACTAGATCCAGTTCTCCAAGACGTTATTAAATATGCAGTGGTTTTAATCTATTTATGGATAGTTTACTTCCCTTTGAGTAAAGAGCACGTTTATTGCTATGGAATCAGCGAAATCGAAGTGAATTCTTATGTAATTCTAGGGTACCATATCCAAACATGTACAGTGTAAGACCTGTGGACGTAATCTGACCGACTGTGTCGGTCATTTCGGCTATATTGATCTCGACTTTCCTGTGTTTCATGTGGGATTCTTCAAGCTGACTATACAAGTGCTACAGTGTATATGTAAAGTGGGTTTGCTTTTTCTTCCTTCGCTTTTCCTCTCTTCCATTTCATACCTTTCGGTTATTGTGAAGTTTTTTTGCTATTTTAAACCGTATCTAAATTAAGCTATAGTTAAACCAGGCTATGCAATCCAATTTGAACACTCTCGTGCTATAGTGGTACATGGGCCGGCTCACTTTCTGAGTATGTCCACGGCCCTATTGATGTCACTGCGAGATTCATCCCATTGGATAGTTCTCCCTGCAGTGACAGTTCTTATGTAAGGCCTGGCGGTCACCCGAGGGTACGGCCACAGCTCGCGATCCTGCATTCTGCGACACTGCAGTATTGCGAAGTCGTACGATCGCGAAATCGCACAGCCGATATGAATCTCCCACTCACTCGAACTGTAAAACGAAACAGTCGCAAAGTATGACCGCAGCTTGACGGCCTAACTTGGCGGAGGTACCTGCCCAGCTGTCGCATTACTTTGGCGTCTTATTAGGTTGTAAAAAAAAGTTTTGTCGTTTTCGACAACACAAGTTTCGAGGCATAATTTTGACTTAATTTTTTGCGTGCTCTACATGTTGCACATTATAGAAAGCGCGCTTCACGTCCTGTCTGAGGGTACTGGTAGCTTTGCTCAAGAGCTATTGCTCCCACATTTTCAAGGCCTTGAATACAACATGCCAACAAGCCAACCCGCACGACTTTCTTTTTCTAACACAAACTAACACAGAAAGGAGCGAAATCATCATGATATGAACTATCATTTGAACTCGCACTCTCGAAAAATTTGCTATGCAGTGATAGTTTGGAAAGCTTGTGTGGGGATGGCGAGCCTCGAAGGTGGCGAGGGTGGTCGTTGGATATCGAATGTTGGTAAAATTAGCAGAAACATTTGATGGGACCATACGCGCTCAGAACTGTTAAGAAGGCCGCTATTTAATTTGGCATAACTGATTATCCTTTACAGGGCATCAAAATTCCCCGAAAACCTGGAATATGCGCCTAGCGTGTGCTGCCAGAAAAAGTGCCGACTCTTCACCGCGCTGCACATCAGCCGACGACCGAAAAGCGGCCGTGCAAAAATGAAGTAGTTGAAGGACAGATATGCGACAAACGTCTTACCACTTACCCTCTTACCTATTTACTGCCAGTTTTTCAACCATGTGGATAGCACCCGAAATGAGAAATGCTTCGAAATTTATGATGGTGAAACGACCTTCCGCCGAGTTCATCGCCTCTAGAACTCCAGTACTTCCAGTGAACGGATTGATCAAACACACGTAATGTTGGCAAGGACGAGTAGATTCTAATGTTTTTACCACGATCCAAAAAGTAGTGTTTGATTCGGGATATGCCCATTTGAACTTCAGGGTCCGAAACGGCAAAAAATTTCCCCACAATCCAACTGGATTTGGGACGTCTACCCCGTACAGATGTCTTTATTTTGACAAATTGTTGAAAAAAGTGAAACCTAATCTTGAGTGTAGCAGTTCAAGAAGCAGTAAGAAGAAGAAGAAGACTTAAAGCAGCTTGCTAAAGTTTCGTATCACAGAAATTCTTACTTGCTTGTTTTTTAGAGATGTAGGTTGCAATTTATGCAATTTTGGGTTACGGAAGGAAAGCCGTTATCGATAAGCGATTAATTCTATAAATTGCTAATGGTGGGGAAATAGTGGGGTCTAGGCGCAGTTAGACATGAACTTATGGAACCAGTTATGTAAATGTATATAATGTAATTGTAAGTGTGATTTGTAAATGCCCGATATCGAAACTGAATCCCGCTTTCTGCTGATGCGGCAGCTTCCCGCTTTGTAAGGATGGAATATGTAGCTCTATTGGTACTATCCTATCATTGCTTCCCCAAAATTTCAAATTTTTTTTTGAAAAAAAGTTTGCCCGTTGTGGTATCTCGATGCTATGATTACAATTATGATTCGTTTTGACGCTGGCGCCAGTTGACGCCACTTTGTCATGACGGCTATTTTCACCAAATTCTGTACAACATTGTATGTAGGAAATACTGAGTGTCCTGATAATCAATGTGCTATTAATTTTTTTGTTTATATTCTTCTTCGAATTTCTGTTGCAGAGTTGTTCTGGATTACTGCTACATGATGAACAACGGGCACATTATCTAAAGCAAATCTCTAATCCGAACCTGGACTACTTACGGCGAAAGGCTCTTCATAAGAACATAGTGGCGGCATGTAAAAAGACGAATCCTTGTCCTAAATGTGGGCAACGCAACGGTCTGTCCTTCACTTCATTGCTGTCTTCCTCTTTGATGTTTTCAACTTTTTCCTTTCATAATTTTTATTTACTCTTCGTTCTATTTTTTCACAATTATTTATTATATTGTCCACCATTTCGTTCCAATTTACCCATTTCTATTTTCTTAACTTAAGGTCTAGTGAAGAAGGCGATGGGTACAGTGTTGAAAATTGTCTATGCTCATGGCGTCACAGAGGACAAAGTGAGTTTCGAGTGCATAATTTTTTGTGTTTTTTGATGGCATACGCTGCAGCCTTTACAGCGTCAGTGGTTGTGCTTATTTCTGTGAGTGGGATCCTCCATGTACACTGATGACTCAGTCTCGTACAGATGCTCCTTTTGACAGCAAATTGAAAGGGGGCAGCCACACTAGTGAGGAGTGATGCCTCAGAAGTTAAACTGATATTTCTTGTCCTTGCGCATACCAATAGAGCACAGCAGCACAAATCCTCTGATATAGTGCCAAAGTGTACTTAATATCGATCCGGCCTACATATAGCATGACACCTCATCGATGGCAAAGCTGAAGCTGAATATCTTAAGCTCTCCCTCTACCCTAGAGACTGGCCTAGCCCACATCCTTCACGTCTTACCCTTGCTCCCCTCACCCTGAAACCCCATTCCCAGCTTCCCGCAGATAATAGCTTTCATCTGTTCTACACGGTTCAGTGCACGGTTCAGTGAGCGCGGTGAGGGTGTCTGGGGGGATGTTTCTGCACAGGCAACGCATAGCATGTAAGATTTCATGAGCGCTTCATTTTGTTTTGTGACAAATATCCGGAAGAAGTAATTTTTATCTTTACGTGGCGGCGCGGCGCTCTGGTCTTCTGCGAGCTCTCGACAAAAGAGCGGTTCAGTCCAAGCTTTGAAGGAAGTGGGTGATCCACTCATAGTATGGTCTCGCATATTCGGTCTTTACTTTTATTTCATCACAAACGTTTACCTAAATTCATCTGATCGTATGAATTACCTAATTTCACCTCATTTGAATTGGTTTTACTACGGTTTTAAGACTATGCTGTAGGAGGGAATGGGTTTTGTGGCGAAGCAATTTCCATTTCTTCGGCGTTCTTGTACCTTCCCAGACTTAGTCACGGGATCCCTTACCCAACCCTTCGCTACAATCGCTTTGCATTCCATTTAGCACAAAAGACGCAAGTCCGGCCCCAAAAAAAATCGCACAGCGCAACAGCGACCACAAAGACCGGACAACTACAGTAAAAAATAGCGGAGAAATGAAGCTGCCAGCAGTTTCTAATTTCCACCTCAACATGTTTAAACGCATCAGACCATCCTCGATACTGAACCTCTATCGGAGATAAAAGGCAGACAACAGAGCTCCGTGCCAAGGGCCTAGTTTTTCTCGTGAAGATGTGAATCAATTCTTTCGAACGCTCGTATTGAAATAAAATGCCTGTCTTGGTACTGAATGCCATGTTTCTGTATCTTTTCAAACATAAGCGCATATTTTATACAACATTACATCGAGGATACATCGCATTCTATGTGATGATGGCTACCATATGGTGTTTTGCTTCTGAGAAATTTACTGTTAATTTTGAGATGCGTGAGTTCACAACGGCTACGGAAGCAAACGCAGATCTCTCCGCTACACTTTTCAAATCGAAATTTACTCTATTAAATCCACTTCGTGTCCAGAAGCTGTTCAACAACGTCACAGCAGAGGTAAGCATTCGAAGCAGTGGTTTTGTGTCGACTGGGTCAGCTTTCACATTTTTACTTTTATTTTTAAGGATATTCCAATTTTGATGGTGAAGTCTGGTGAAACAAAACATCCTAATGATCTCCTATTAACGAGAATTCCTGTCCCTCCAGTTTGTGTTCGTCCATCCGTAATATCAGGTGAGGAGTCTCGGCCAATGCATCATATATTTGAACACGGCAATGATTATAACTTTCTTATTTCTCTTTGAAGAAGTAAAATCTGGTACTACTGAGGACGACCTGACGATGAAGTTGTCTGAAATCATTCTCATCAATGATGTCCTACAAAAGCACAAGAAGGATGGGGCTCCAATGAAGACAGTAACAGAAACATGGGACCATCTACAGGTTAGCGAAATATGTGCAGTTACTTCGATGGTGCACTACTTAGCAGTGTTACTTCCAGATCCAGGTTGCGTTGTACTTCAACAGTGAACTTTCCGGCCTACCTCCTGAATTACAGCCCAAGAAGGTAACTTTGTTCTAATTTTTCATGTCAACATCCCTTTCAGTTTCTTGACAGGTTCCCTTTTAGGCACTTCGCGGTTTCACGCAGCGTCTCAAGGGCAAGCAGGGTCGATTTCGTGGCAACTTGTCTGGGAAAAGAGTGGATTTCTCCGGAAGAACTGTAAGCTCACACGAATTTTGTGTTTTTTTTTCGACTTATAAGTGTTGTTGTTCGAAGGTAATATCACCCGATCCTAATCTACGAATTGATGAGGTCGGAGTGCCGGTACATATTGCGCTGACGTTGACATTTCCTGAAGTCGTCAACAATTACAATATCGAACGCATGAAGAAACTTATTATGACGGGTTCCGACAATCATCCTGGTGCCAACTATGTGGTCGATCGTGTTACTGGAACGAAACGTCTATTGAAGTAAGTAGTTTAGTTGTAGTAGGTGATAGTTTTTTTTTAATTCTATTTCGAACGGTATTTGTACTTCATAGGTGCCTGACATTGAACTTCTGAAATGAGAAACTTCTGAAGTGAAACTTTTTTTTTCTTCTGAGCGGTCCCAGGTAATCACGAAAAGGGCGCGAGAAATTTCTTCTAGAAATCGCAATTTTGCAATTCAGTAATGTATCACATGGCATTTTTAGCATTGTTTAGTTGTATATGGGAAAGCTTATCGTTTCGAGAAAGGTTCCAGAAAGGGTATTACAAAATTTGGCACCAGGTGTCCAAATGCCATTGTTTTCATCCCGTTTTGGCATTCCCGAGTCCGTTCAGAAGAATTTTGATGTGGTTTCTATGTTCCATGCACTTCTCCCCGCCCCGTTAATGTATTCATCAAGAAGCACTCCTCTCCTTTAGGGCACCACGATCGCTTTAAAGATGCGACACATCAGGCTTAGTTCATCGGAAAGTGTTTCCCTTTTCACCTCATTGATCTCTTCTCTTCACTTTCATCTACTACCGTCCTTTTCGTCGTTTACACTATTTGAAAAATCTCAATCGAAGGGATGCTCTTGAGAGAAAGAGTTGGGTAATGGAGGGGTAGAGGAGTGCCAAGTTGACGATAGGTGACGCCTCTGCGGTGGAGGGCGCCTCGAAGTGACAAGGCGCCAAGTGGACCTCGAACCTATACCTACCTATACCTCTCCGTCTCAGCCAAGCCCACCGCTCGCACGTAGAAGGGATAACGCCAATGTAATTGAAAGAAACCTCAATGTTCGTTCCGATTCCAAAGTGCGCTGTCGCATCCGCCATCGAATCATATGCCGTCGCTCTTGCTCACAAGAACGACCTCTACATTCTAAATCTTAACGTTAATTCGAAATTCTGAAATGATGAACGCGAAAAAGGGTCTCGCTCTTGGCGGTTGACCATTTTTCTTAGTTTTTTTTTTTCACAGGTGCACCACTTGGCGCTACTCTCGCTTTTCAACTTTGTCAACCTTTTGCGAAAGCTGCCTTTGAGTCATTTAATGGCATATTTTCACGAAAACTATTCCTTGTTCCCGCTCATTCCTTTTAACACAGATGTGCGACATCTCCTGCCAGGGTCAAGCGCCCGTTGGTGCATGTACTAAGGCGGGACGTCGTTTAGAGGGTTTTTTTTCTCGCAATTTCGTGAAAAATTCCAAAAATAGCATGATGTGGTCAAAATTAGAGGATCCACCGCTCCACCTGTCTCCTCCCTGCCCCGGCTCGACGGCGTTCTGTAGAAAAATTGGCAGATCAGCTTTTCCGTTAGTCCCAGAAGCAATTCTCTAAAAACAGCCATACGTTGAGAGTGGTGGCCAGGGCGGGTGGGCGTTGTTTTACGGAAATCATTCAACGCTGATGGTAGTGATGGGAGTTCGTATCGAGGCTCTTCATGAAGTGGGGGGAGGGTCGTGAAGTTTTTGGAAAAATACCAGCGATTGAGTTGATTCTGCCTTCCACTTTGATGCAATGACGGTTTAGAGAAGAGCCTCAAAAAAAAACCTGGATTAACATTTCTTTGGCTGATCGTCGTGTGAAGTCCACGGGAGTGTGGACTGTTCATTAATCTTCCCTTGCGCTTATTAACGTGTCGTGAAAAATGGTCTTCTTTGTGCGGATAATTCCAGTCCTCTTTGTACTAGCCGCTCATCTTTCCCAATTGGTCGATCAAATCCTTTGGTAATAGTAGAGTGATGAGCAGTGTGTGGTTTGCAGTATTTTCTGCAGTCGTTGTGGCAAATAACTAGCAATACCCTGCTTGTTTCATATGCCGAGCTTATCAAAAAAATTGTTTTAGATATGGTAATCGTGAGACTTGCGCAGCAAGTCTGAAAGTAGGAGACATTGTTGAACGCCACCTGGATGATGGTGATATCGTATTGTTCAATAGACAACCGTCCCTTCACAAAGTGTCCATCATGAGTCATCGTGCCAGAATCGTGCCTGGTAGAACGTTCAGGTCCTTTTTCATCTATTGTGTTTTTTTCAGTATTTGGTTTAGTTTAGATCTATTGCTTTTTGAAGAACTGTTCTGGTACAAGTTATTCTAGCGCTTATTACTATTCCGCATCGGTTGTCCGATTTAGGTTCAACGAATGCGTTTGCACACCGTATAACGCAGACTTCGACGGTGATGAGATGAATCTGCATGTGCCACAGACACATGAAGCAAGAGCAGAAGCAAGCCTCTTGATGGGTGTGAAAAGCAATTTGATCACTCCCAGATCTGGCGAGCCATTGATTGCGGCTATTCAGGTAACAACTTTCTTCAGCTTTGATTCATTTCAATACTTTTAGACAACATTTTCTGGATTTTTCTTCCTTATATTTTAATTATTACAGTATTTGTGTCTGTTTTTTGCACACACTTAAATCTGTTCAACTTGAATTCAAAATTTTGCGCTGAAAGTTTTTCTAACCTTGGCTGTTAATCAGTGCTTCTCCGGCAAATGACTATTAGGCTGGAGAGTCATCAGATATTGTTCACGCATACTTGGGTGTGGCATGGGGTGCACTATTACAGGGTGTCCCATAAATATTGCACAATTTTCTTTACTTGTAACTTCTTTCAAAATGGATGTATCTTCAAGAGGTTTTACAAAAATTTAGCAATACATTTACATATTGAAAGGAATGACATTCATTGGATATGCTCCCTGTTGTTGTGAGTATGGCTCCCAATTGCTTCGAACGCAACTCTACTGTGGCCCGCATGGCATCCTGGGTGTTCTCTTCGAAACTTTGCAGAGAAAAGGCTCCGGCTCATCCATGTGGATGCAATGTTTAGTGCAGGCTCTGCCCCTAACATAGCCCACATAGGATGGTCCAGCACGCTGAAATCAAGGATAGGAGAGCCATTCGTTCGAGGATGTGAAATCGGAAAGAGTGCCTTAACAGCGCTCCTGAACAATTTTTGCCTCCTATGCAGAAGCTGGGTCCTATTGAAAAGATCATCACCCCTCCTCAAAGTGGCTAGATACCTCAGTAACAGATGGTGCACCGAAATGTCCCTTGGCTCGGTCTAGTATCAAGTTGTATTCCTTTGTAAACAGGCAGTGATGGTGAGCGACCGGTAGTTGAGACCCCCGTCCAGACCATGATAAGGTTCGGCTGCTGCTTGTGGCGAATATTCCTTTCACTCTCACTGACTTCCAAGACCTCATGCGGGCATCCTCGGAGTTTGAAGATTGTAGCTCCGCTCCATGTGAGGAATTTTGTCGTCGATGAAAACGGTGCCCGCGTAATCGCCATTTTCGGCCCTCGACACCAGCTCTTTGAACTTTTTGTCTCTGCTGTGCTCCTCCCGTTGGATTGAGCTTATGGACTGAGCAGTTCTTGTCCGACCACTCTCTACATGGCTGTGTTTAGAAACTCCAGCGTTCTGGTCACCTTTCTCGAGCCAACCCGGGTATTGCAGTCGTTTCGCTTCTTCATGCTTTTCCTGAGATCCAAGATGTCAGAACTTGTGGGGCGGCCACAACAAAGACTACTTTTATTGGTCTTCTTTAGTACACGGTAGGCCGCGGAGCGGTTGAAAATCCAAAGAAGCGCGATGCTCATCACCGGATGTCCGACCTAGCTGTGTGAGGGATTAGGCACTCTGTTGAAGTTTAGGCGCACCATGAGATGCAGGCCGAACGGTAAGCCGTGGAATTTGGCATGGTCATTGACAAGAGGATAGAGGATTGAAAGGTCTCGGAAGAAAAGCTATAAACACCTACAGAATTTGAGCTCAAAATTTGGTGCAATATTTCATGGGACACCCTGTAGTTAGACCAACCTTGAAAAGGGGTTCTGAGCTATTGTCAAGTAAAGAAAAATGAATACAAACCAATATTTGTCAGTCTTCGATTTGATTTCGCTACCAGGAAGCAACATTTGTAGTGGAGAAGGATGGCACTCTATCCTCTTAACGTTTTCTCTTGTGTATATTTTTAAATTTTCAATCAGGAATTTTCAGGACTTCATCACGGGTGCTTATCTACTGACACATAAGGACACTTTCCTCACGTTCAGCGAGGTACTTTTTGAACAGTTTTAATCGAGAAGACTGCACAGAATTCTTATCTTTAGGCCACCCGATTAGCTGCGTCAATTATCTGTTGCAATTCCAAGAAGCAAAAGCGCATTCGGCTGCCAAGTCCGGCCATTTGGAAACCTGCCAAGTTATGGACAGGAAAACAAGTACGTTGTTGGCTATTTTTCTTCGAATTTTTCTTTTATACTGTCCACATTCAGCTTATGGAGCTCATCGTTTCGGATGATATCGATAATCCAAGGAAACTTAATCTAACAACACCTAACAAAAGCTACACGAGTAATCGGGAGTTTTGTTTGAAGGTGAGCAGATCCTCCTTTCTTTATATCTAACGGGGTACGTGAGGCTGACGATTACTGTTTGAAGGACTCCTTTGTCATATTCCGCAATGGGCAGCTTTTATCTGGAGTTCTGGACAAGTCGTTACTAGGCTCTAGTTCCAAAACAAATATCTTCTATATTCTCTTGCGAGATTTTGGCGAAGATGCTGCAGTGGACGCAATGTGAGTTCTGATCTTTTGTGTACTGCGTTCTTCCTCTGAATGATTTCAACAACTTGTCTATTCCGCTATGAAGTATGTGGGCGAAAGTAAATACACGCAATCGATCCCTTCCTGTGTTTTATTTTCTCGAGTTTTTAGCTTATTTTTTTAAGTCTTGTTGTTTTATTCAGCGTGGGTTCAGGAGTACTCATGTTATCCCCTTATATGTTGTTAATGTCTTTATTTTGAGATTACTTGATTACTACATTGTTACCTCTTTTCGCTGTTTACAGTGTCTTTTTCCAACGATGGAAATTACTGTGGAAATTTGAGCGTGGTTAGTGGGTCGCCATGGGTTAGTGCAGTGGAGCGCTAAACTTCTGGATGTTGAAAAAGTGGGAGAAGGCCTACCTTCTCTACAGGTAAAACGTGTCTACTTGTAGAGAAGCTCGCGCGCAATTTCACCTACGATGTGCTGAGCCTGCTTAAGACCAAAAAGTGGACGCCTACCGCCGTGGTGGTTACCGCCTCCAAGGCCCGCTTACAGATCGTTTTAATCTGTTGTGGAAAGGCGGTTGCCTATCCACAGCGAAAACGAGGAAAGAGTGAGCGTCTTAGAATCATTGAGCGTGGAAATAAGGGCAAAAAGGGTTTCATTTTTGGAGTTTTACGTCTCTTCTGGTTTCTCTTCACTAATTGCACCATTTGCTACCTCTGCAATAATTTCCATAGGCAATCATTTTTGTCGTACCATCTGCCTTCAAGCAACAAAGGGGGGGGGGGGGGGGGGGGGGGGGGGGGGGGGGGGGGGGGGGGGGGGGGGGGGGGGGGGGGGGGGGGGGGGGGGGGGGTCATATGCATCGTTTTACGAGAATAGAGGAGAGCGAAGTAACGCTATGGTAGCATACAGTATACAAGTTCAGCAATTTGTATCCATGTTAATCTTTCGTAGTAATATTTATCGCAGAAATAGGTCGCAGCTGTACTGGGGGCGAACCACTTTCAACATTGGTGTAAACCAGCTTAACTATGTTTAACAATGCTGAATGTCGTCTTTTCCGAATTGACATCAAGGTTACTTGTGGCGTACCTAAAATCCCGTCAGAAGACTTTTTGTCTGCCTATTCCAGATAAAAAATCGCACAAAATGCAGATTAGCAAGGGACTTGATCCACATACTGCAGCCGTCAGAACCATTTGATAGAAAATAACAATAAATGGAACTGATATCGATACAGGTGAAGCCGTCGCTACATGTCTTACTGCTGTTCGTAAAACCAGTAATTCACGTACTGAAAACCGTGAAAAAATCGCTGTCGCGTGTCCGCTGTCCTTTCTGACGCATTTGATTTTCTGGTGTGGGTTTAGGACTACTTGATTTTTCCTCAATGGTCCTGCCGCGATGGCTAGAGCACAGACGATTAGAGACGGGTGAATGCCCTAGGACTAAGCCTTGGAGAGGAGAGGGACCCGCGAGAGAGCGCAGAGGCGGTTTAAAGGGCTGAGTTCAAGTAGTCCGTCGACCTTCTGGTGACACCTTTGTGTTGCTATGTCTGCGTTTACGATTCGCGTGAGTACGGAGGACCAAAGTGTAGCTATCTTAGGTTGACACGAGAATTTTCGGTTGTTAATATGCAGCGTTTTGCTGGGATAAAAGGATAAAGGATAAAGCATTTGCCGTTGATCAATCCCTTTTTGGGATGCGGCACGCATTCTACTTCCATTTGTACATTCGCAGTGGCGTTTGAATGCGATGTGGCCTATACAATGACTTGCGGGGGCCAGCCGATGTACAAGTCAGTGTTTTTATCCTCCCAGACAAGTCTGGTACCAATTAACCGACCCCGGAGGGATGGAAGGGTTGGCCCGGGCGACTCACGACCCAGGATTTGATCCCCGGACCGCTCGCGTGGTAAGCGCGCCACTTGTCACTACACCACTTCCGCCCTTTTAATTACTTCCAAATTGGTGAATTAAGGGAGAAATGCTGTTTCGGCTTCTCGCAGCGCTAATCTTCTTTGCAGCAGGAATCCCAATTCCATCTTTGATTCATGCGTGGACCTGCGGTTCCTCAGCGAAAAAGTTTACGCTATAAAAGTGAAAGAGTCATTTTCTGTTCTAGCGACCCACATTCGCAAAGTCCAGTGAAATTGTAGTATCCAGTATTCAACATTTTATAGGTGGAGACTTGCACGAATGATGCCAACGTTTCTCACCAATCGTGGTTTTCTCCATAGGAATTGGTGACGTCCATCCAAGCGCTCAGTTGCTTAAGGAGAAACAAATGTTGTTGAATGATGGTAAGACCCACTTGTACATTTCCATAGCTTTCAAATTTGTTCAAACCAATTTTAGGTTACAAAAAGTGCCATGAGTACATTGCTCAACTGAAATCCGGACAGTTGAAAGCGCAACCTGGATGTACCGATGAGGAGACGCTTGAGGCATTGATTCTTCGCGAGCTGTCATCAATTCGTGATAAGGCTGGTAAAGCCTGTGTTGACAACCTTTCGAAGTGTGTAGTAAGCTGTCTGATTGCTTTATGTAAGAAGAGCGATGTATTTCTATCATATCAGGCACAATGCCCCGTTGACTATGGCGGTTTGTGGTTCTAAGGGGTCGTTCATTAACATTCAGATGATCAACATATCCCAGATGATCGCATGCGTCGGTCAACAGGCCATCTCTGGACATCGTCCTCCGGATGGGTTTGACGTAAGTTTGGTGGTGTCTTGTTTCTGTATCTATGTAAACGAATTCGATATTATTGTAGAAGCGTTCTCTTCCTCACTTCGAAAAGCTTCAAAAGACCCCTGAAGCAAAAGGATTCGTTGAGAACAGTTTCTTCTCCGGGCTTACTCCTACAGAGTTCTTCTTTCACACTATGGGTGGTATGTGCTCATTTTTTGCTGTTTTTATTGCCTGTGGATCCCTCACCTCACTGTTCATTTCTTGCGCAGGTCGTGAAGGTCTTGTTGACACTGCCGTAAAAACGGCCGAGACAGGGTATATGCAGCGCCGTCTGGTGAAGTGCCTTGAGGTGAGTCCTGCTGAATTGTAGTAAAGGGTTTACCGTGTGGCGAGAACTTTGCAGTCAAATAATCATTTCAGGATCTTTGTGCAAGCTATGACGGTACAGTTCGGTCGTCAGTTGGTGATATCGTAGAATTTGTGTTTGGTGAAGATGGATTAGGTGAGTTCCAGTTACCGAACTTTTTTGACTTTATCACAATTTGCAGTTGTGATGTGGAAATAAATGAACAGTTTTCAGACCCCGCATTAATGGAGGCAAAAGAATGGTTCAGTGCTAGATTTTGCTCATCAGCTCGAACACGTCCGAAACACTCATCCTTTTAACGGCGATGAAGAGCTGGATAAGAATGATATGGAGGTTTGTAGAGTTTGCACATCAAGGTGAAAAGTATGCAATTTGATGTTTAGGCTTTATCGAAGACGATCCTAGATAAGGAATTGGGCGAATCTCATCCGTTGTTCCGTACTCAACTGGAGGATTTTGTTAACGAAGTTATCAAGAAAACCGCGACGGTTTACAAGACGCCTGAGTTTTGCAGTAGCCATCCCAAAGGGTTCGTTTCGACGCTATTTATTTTTTCATGAACATGACGGGCTGTTCACGTGGAGTTTTCTGTTTACTTTTTCTTGGTACTAACAAATCTCCACTACATATATCAATCGAAGGCTGCGTTTGAACTTCTAACCGATTCTTCAATTTTCGCAAATCTTAGGTTGACTTTTAAGTAGGGTCCGCTTTTGACATACCCATATTCGAAACTTGATGGCGTGAAGGATGCGATTAGACCATTTGGAAACACTTCTTGCCTTCCGCAAGTCTATCCTAGTTGGCAAATGGAGCGACATTAGAAGTGACTGCAGCTTACGTTGAACTAGTTGCTTTCTCGAAATTTTGGAGACAGCCTTGACAGGCCCTTTTCCCCTGATAGGTCTTTTGGTACTGTGCACATTTGCTAGTCGTTGAGGTTCTGAGAGACAGATTTGTTAGAAGCAACGGCGTGAACTGTCGAAGCGCGGCCACATCGTTGACTGGTCAGTTAGGTGCTTCATGCTTGCTGGGTGTGGGGTAAATTCCGGTTATCGGAACGTGCAGATCGCGAATGATCTTGCACAATCATACACAGTCGCACTGCAACGACGAGTTGCAAATATGACCGCACTTTTAGAATTTCATGCAGACGGTTTCGCGCGTTATGTGAGGGGCGTCAGATCTCTGCATGGTTCACTTAGCGAGATCGGCGCAAGCTACTTCAGCGGGACTTTTATGGATTTGAATGGCTGGACATTACCAATAATCAGACCGAATAAGATATGAATATTGAAATTAGTAACCAAAGTGGATTAGGACGAAGTGTATTAAGCGGTTTAGTTTGGACCAGTCTGTCTCTCTGGTAGGGGGTCTTATGGTGCAGTAGTCAGGCGCTGTCCCACGCTCACCACTCTTGTGCAATGATAGAGCCGGTGTGTGAAAAGCAAAAAGTTGGAGTTGGATCACGCCTTCTTTGGAGCTTGACTTATCGCATTGCAAGGGCAGCGTCGCTGTGCATTACAGTCGATAACTTGAGAAGTCTGATTGGGCGTGTCACCGGAAATGACGTGGCAGCCACCGCACTTGATAGATGTTGTGTGGATAAAATACTCCGCCAGATATCAGCAAAGCGTGTTGGAAGCAGCTTATCCGCGCAACTTCTATCAAGTGCGGTGGCTGCCACGTCATTTCCGGTGACACGTCCAATCAGACTTTGAGATCTCGGCTGTACTTTGTCACTTGTATTTGACGACTCCATCCCGGCAGTCACCTGTTCCGTCAGCAGATCCTCACTGATATCTCTCGCTCATCGTTTTGACAGTTTTTGAGGAATAATTAATTTCAATCATAGTCCAATGGTTCCGGAAGTCCATATATTGTGTGCGTGTTCATTTTGTGCGCTATTTTTTTCATCTTTTTTTGGCTTGGGTGTGTTTCATGAGCAGAATTGCTCGCATTAGTGACCCGTCCCGATCTCCTCTTTTGTGTTTACGTGCAGTATGGGTATAACCTTAATCATCTTAGTTATCAGATTCATATCTTTTGTGTGCCTTCAGCAATCCCCTCTCGAATCGCCAGGCGTTATGGTCGTGTGCCCAGTGCCTCACCTAGCGAAGTATAGGTGCTGGAGTAGACGAGCTGGTCAGTTTCTACGTTATTTTATTTATTTATTTATTTATTTATTCATCGTCTTGTTACCCATTGCGTTATCCGTAGTGCTTTCTTGTCAGGAGCGCCCAGGTGCATGCTCACTGCGTATCCCACTCACAATTTGTGGCTTTCCTGGAGGCTTGCTGCCTCAAACTAAGGAAGGCGTCGTTGAGCCGGGAACAGACTGTAAGGTTGCATTGCAGCCAACTTAGCACTCGCGTGAGGTTTGATTTTCAGCTGGAGGTGATCAGAGAGTTTTTTTGATGAATGTACTTTCCTTCTTAGGTGAGCCTTCCACGCAAATGACATTGAAGACATTCCACTTTTTCGCTGCTGGTGTAGCGTCATGAATATCACACAAGGTGTACCACGAATCAAGGAAATAATTAATGCTGTGAAAGCTGTGAGTTGTTTACACCTAAATCTGTTCAATGGTTCCTATAACGATTTCTTCCAGATTTCAACTCCAATCATTACTGCGAAATTGATGGATAGTCGAGACGAAAGGCTGGCACGACAGGTGAAAGCGCGCATTGACGTAACGACATGTTGGGTTGGTTCTTGTTTCAGGGTTTTATTCCCTTTCGAGTTTACTGTTTATGTTGAGCTTGATGTTTAGGCGAAATCTGTGATTATATCGAAGAAGTCAATATGCCAGATAACACATTCTTGCTGCTGAAACTGAGCTCGAAGCGAATTCGTATTCTTCACTTGCGACGGATACGTGATGGTTCACGAGAGATATACTTTTTTTGTTGACACGAGCCTCCACTCTCAAGGTCATTCGTTTAAGGTCACGACGATGTCAAGTATTGTGCAGAGTATTCTCTCTACAAAGAGTTTTGTTCCATTCAAATTGGCGCAGGTAATTGATTGTGGTTGAAAGGACTTTTCGGTTTCTCAAACAGTACCTTGTTTAGATCACCATTGTGGGTAAGTCTATGATGGTTATTCGACCACCAGCTGACTCGAAGTTCAGCAAATCAATTACCGTCCAAATAATGAAGCAGACTTTACAAAGAGTCATAGTGAAAGGTATGCAAATTTTAGCTCTGTTAGTGTTATTTTCGAGCCTTTTGGCTTTTGGCCTTATTCTTTACTTATAATTTTCATGTTTTTTCTAGTTATCTAAATATTTTCACAATTATAATTATCGTTGCTTGGTTACCGTTCAATATCAAAGGTTAAGGTTTGCCGAACGTGAAACGCTGCGTGATTCATGCAGACGAGAAGCGTGGCGATGAGTACAGCATCATTGTGGAAGGCAGCGATTTCCGTGGTGTACTTTCTCAGCCAGGAATCGATGGCCGTTTCACAAACTTCAACAATGCCTTGGTCGTTGCTGAGGTTAGTTTCATTGTTCAGTGTTGAATGACTTTTCTTCTTGGAGTTTTCCTGCGGGCTTTTATCGTACAAAATTCAATTTCGAATTGGATTTTTCGTTTGTGTGGTAAGCAAGGTTTCTTAATCATCCCGTGTTAGATAGAACAATTTAAGCTTAAGTTGTTCACGCCTTACGCAGACTAATTTTGATGCATCTCATCAAAAACGAGTGGAGATTGAGGTCCTTTTTCTTTGACTTTATTTCCTCGCATTTTCGTGAAATCTGCAAATATTAAAGTTTGTCAAATATGCTGGCTCTACCTCCTATGAGTTCCGATTTTGGTTTTTCGGCATTCTGCAAGGCTGTAGATGTTAATTTTTGACAGATGGGATTCAATAGTGATGCTTTATTGCTTTTCAGGTTCTTGGAATCGAAGCAGCGCGAACATGTATCATCAATGAAATAATCGGAACCATGGAGGCTCACGGAATTGGGCTCGATAGACGGCATGTGATGTTGTTGGCTGATGTTATGACATATCGGTAAGCATTTTTCGGTACTATTCAAATACAGGGCCATTCTTCAGAACTAAGCTTACGACCGAGCAGGAACTTGAGGGAAATGAAAACATTTTACGCACTCTGGAGTCCCTCCGTCTCCACTTATGTTTGGTCCTTTGCGAAAGGGATGTGTTTTACGCTGTTTTATGCATTGTCACCGCTATGCTCCGTAGCTTGCGACGGCGCTCCTTTTTTGAACCATTTTTACTTTTACATTTTTACATAATATGTACGCGCAGTATCTTTGACCGATTTTTTTAGTGGCGAGGTACTTGGAATCACGAGAAATGGGCCTGGTGAAAATGAAAGAGTCTGTCCTTCTGCTTGCTTCGTTCGAGAAGACCATGGATCATCTATTTGAGGCTGCATTCTTCTCTCAGAAGGACCCTGTAGGTTATTTAGTTCATTTTTTCCATGAGGCTTAACCTGATTTTGACGCCTACTTATTAACTTGTTCTTATGTTTAAGATCCATGGTGTTTCGGAGTGTATCATTCTCGGCATTCCAATATCGATAGGAACTGGTATGTTTAAACTGCATCAGAAACTGCCGGAACCGATTGATTACAGTCCTGGAGAGCCCATCTTTATGAAACCCGAGTTCCGACTAAAGGTTTAGTTTATAAAATTGGCTTGTTCGCAGATCTGCTTTATTTTATAGATGTCTGATTGTTTTGTTTTGTTTTGGGAGGACATGTGTAGATTTTCGGCTTACATTCTGACTGAAGTTTTTGAAACGGGTGTTTTTTCATTAATTCCCCTTGAGGAGAGAGGTCCACATTAAGTTCGAAGAAGGGAAACATACCTAATCGCAAGGCAGACGGCCCTAAGAGTGCAGGACGGTATGTGTTCCGCAACGAGGAATACGCCTAGAGGGTCGTACCCGCGCCGCTCGCATCTTTGCACTCCCGCCGATAGGTAACCCTTCCCCGTCTGACTTTAGCCGTTTATCATAGAGACCTTGGCTCAGAGATGGTTCTCAACTTTCAAGGGTATGCGTCATCAATGAAGAGATGTTGGCATATACTAACTATCGGGATAAGCATGTGTAAACGAGCAATTCTCGGTAATTGGTTCGTCCAAAACCGAAATCGGGAAGGGTCCCAAGTCTCGGGTCTTAGGTCGTTTTCCTTTGAATT